GCCCACTTGACTTCACATTCCAGGATGTCTGGCTCTAAGTGAGTGATCACACCATTGTGATTATCTGGGTCATGAAGATCTTTTTTGTACAGTTCTTCTGTGTATTCTTGCCACCTCTTCTGAATATCTTTTGCTTCTGTTAGGTCCATACCAATTCTGTCCTTTATTGAGCCCATCTTTGTATGAAATGTTCCCTTGGTATCTCTGATTTTCTTGAAGAGATCCCTAGTCTTTCCTATTCTATTGTTTTCCTCTATTTCTTTGCATTGATTACTGAGAAAGGCTTTCTTATCTCTCCTTGCTATTCTTTGGAACTCTGCATTCAAATGGGTATATCTTCTCTTTTCTCCTTTGCTTTTCACTTCCCTTCTTTTCTCAGCTATTTGTAAGGCCTCCTCAGACAGCCATTTTGCTTTTAGCATTTCTTTTTCTTGGGGATGGTCTTGATTCCTCTCTCCTGTATAGTGTCACAAACCTCCGTCCATAGCTCATCAGGCACTCTGTCTATCAGATCTAGTCATTCATATAAAATACATCAAATTCTAAGACAGCAGCTAGTCTGTTCACTATGCTAAGTCGCTTCAGTCGTGTCTGACTCTGTGTGACCCCATAGATGGCTGTCCACCAGCCTCCCCCATCCCTGGGATTCTCCAGGCAAGAACACTAAAGTGGGTTGCCATTTCCTTTCCACTATAGGCAACTCCTATTCTGAAAGGCTGACAAAGAAAAGAGAAGGTATGTGGGCAAAGCCTCTTCTGGGTAGGGATACAAGAATGGTGGTGGCAAAGGAGGATGAGGTCTCCCAAATCTTTAGATAATGAAGTTGGGGGAGGTGGGGGATACAGACCTCAGATATGCTCACAAGGTGGCTCAGTGACCCTATTCCCTGATGGTCCAGATGTCCATAGGAGTAAGGAGATATCCATAATGTTCAGGAGCAGGTAGTCATTGAACATTATGGTAATCCCCAGCCCATCTATGCAAGCTTCACAGAGCATAGAACTAAATATAATGAACTAGCCTGCAGGGTGATGACCTGAGTCCCATGGACCTCTACCCAGGTGCAACACAGACGCTCAGAAAAGTACTAGTTGCTAGTACTCATTGTCTTTGACTTTCATTTATGGCAGTTGTACTCAGGCAGAAGTATATGATGGCTTTGGAACAAGACAGAACTAAGTTATTGTCCTAACTCTGCTGTTACTGGGAAAGTGTGTAGCCTCGGATTGTAATAACTTCTCTGGGCCTTGGATTCTTCACTTACAGAATAAAAAGAATGTAAGGTTGTTATGTGGATTTGAGGTACTAAAATTCAACATGGCATGTAGTTGAAGTCTTAGGTAAACACAGACTTCCTTAAGAACAATACAGAGGTCATAATATCTTAGATATGTCCCTAAACAAAATAGTTTCAGGTGCCTTACAGAAGGGTCTGGAGTCTGATATCACAAGAGAACTGAATGGGGCCAAATCCATTCCCCTTTTTAAAAGTTTTATGCCTTGGTGTCGATTGGCTAATAACTAATAAGACTGTTTTCTATGTATATCAGCCAGAAATTTTACAGCAATTTAATAGTTTGGACTCATCTCTTTTGTTATTGAATCTTTAGCTGCCTTCATAATTTAAAACATACCAGCTCGTGGGCCATTTGCTATCTTGAGAACATCTGCAATTATTGCATTTTCTTTGGAAATTAAAAGCTCAGGTGGGGTGTGGCCAAGGGCTGAAACTAAATACAGTGGTCCCTCGCCAAGGTATTCTTTAACTGGGCCTGCCATCCTAACAGCAGGCAGCATTGTCCCTCAAAGAGTCTTCATTCCTCTTGTTTCAGTTTCCCCTGCCCAAGACTGTACATTCACACACACCCAGCATGGCTGTCTTCCACCACAATCTGAGGATGATCAGCAGGTAAAATGTGACTTTTGTTCCTTTCCTACCCAGAACCCACCTGCCAATGCAGGTAGACATAAGAGACAGGGATTTGATTCCTGAGTCAGGAAGATCCCCTGAAGAAGGGGATGGCAGCCCACTCCAGTATTCTTGCCTGAAGAATCCCATGGACAATGGAGCCTGGCAGACTAATAGTCCATAGGATCACAAAGAGTCGGACACAACTGAAGCAACTTAGCAAAGCACAAAGACCAGAGTCACTGATGGATATTACTATGGCACATTCATGTGGGAACACACATCTCCTAGCAGAGCTGTGCAGAAAGACAGTCTTGAGCTTGAGCCTTAAAGCCTCTCTGCTCCCCAAGTACTGTTGCCGTTGCCCAGATGCCTTTTCAAGCTACACAGGACAAACACATCTGTCACCAGAGTGAAGGAGATGGGAGTGAAAGGAACTATATGAATAGAAGAAAGCATGCCCCACCTAAAAGTTTTGATATTGAGTTATTTTTTAAACACTGTGCTGGCCGAAACAAATAAATCAGCTTGTCTTTACCTTTTGATGATGATGATGATAAGGAGGAGGGAAGGGGAGCTGAGGGGGGAGAGAAAGGGGAGAAGAAGAGAGGAAAAGGAAGACATGCTAGAGAAGTAAGAATGGGGTCCTACTCTTGGCTTTGCTACCAACAGACTCAGAACTTCAGAAGTCACTTGATGTCTCTGGGCCAAGTTTCCTCTTCAACAAGATGAATAGATGTGAAGCCTCAGGTGAACATGAAGGTTCTCCACTATTTCTTGAAGCACAGATTCCAAACTGGTCCCAGCCTACTCTTCCCATCTCTGTTCTAACCTAAAGGTCAGTTTGGGTAGGGGGGACCTAAAATTTACACAGTTTGCAGGGGTGGGGGAACTTGTTTATAATAATGATAATACAAAACTATAACACAAAGTAGGGCAGCATGAATATTTTAAATGAACAGCAAAAGCACAAAAATACCAATTTTTAAAGACAATTAATACCAGAGATACCACACACACACATATACAAACAGGAAAAAGCAATGCAAGATTTGTTTTCATTATCTGTTTGGGAAATCTCTATAAACACTTGTATTCAATATTTTTGGCTGTGTAATCTTTGACTGTCTCTTCTTACGACAAAATTCTGTAATAGCCTTTTATATAGAGACTGGGAAGATAATTGGGTTTTCCCTATAACATAGTTGATCAAAATTTACTTGTTAATTTTAATTTATGGTTAATTATTATTTAGAAAATTTATTTCACCCTCACAACTTACTATTAGCAATGTCATTTTCATTTTTAGTACTTTTGTCAAATTTGGGGAAATCCTCTATCAAATGTCTTTCATATGTAAGCTGAGTGATTTCAAGCATTCCTGTTTCCTTGGGCAAAAACTCCTCTGAAATGCTCTTTAAATTGATGTCACTCATTACCCAAGACTGTGGAGGGGCCTCTGCTCTTATCACTTCACACCAGGTACGATATAGCAGCCCCCTCACATACACGGAACTTCTTGCTGGTCCCTGACACAGGGCCACCTTCCACAGGCTATAACTTTGCAAATGCTGATCCATATTCTGAATTGCCCTTCCTCTCCTCCCCTATCAGCCTTCTTCAAGGAGCAAGCAGACTCAGCCGCCCCTCCTCTGCATTGCCTTTGGCTCACACCACAAGAAGAGAATCCTTCCTGTGGTGCTTCAGTTCTCTGCTCATTTGTCTGCCTTCCCCACTAGACTCAGATTCCCTTGAGGGAAGGTAGTGGATCTTTCCATCTGCCTAGCATAAGGCCTAGCTCAAAAAAGATGCTCAATAAGTGGGTCATAAATAGAAATTGCTGCACAACACAGGTTCTAAGGAGTGTGACAATTCTTAACAGTTCTAAAACAAACCTTGTTCTGCTCTGATTCCTCAATTGTCAATTGACACTGCTTTTTCTGCTTCTCTAGGAGGGTGAGGGGGCTGTCATCCTCTCTACTCCCCCTTGTCTGGCCCTCAGGGATCTCTTTCCCCTTGCTTTCAAGTAGCAGCATATGAGGGTAACCACCTAAATTACCAAGGTGGCCACCCTCCTTCTGAGGTACTATCACCTCTGGAAGGGAAAGACATGAGCAGAGGATAGGCCTATGCCAAAGGTAGAGTATTTCAGACGCATTCCTTTAAGTGCCAAGAAATATCTCCAAAGGGATTAAGTAAAGAACTCATCAAATTTCTGTATCCTTGCTAGCCTCAGAGGAAAAAGGAAATAGAAAAGAAAGAAGGAGGAGGAGAAAGGGGAGGAGGGGAATGGACAGGAGAAGAAAAGACTATCCTGGCAAAGAAGTCTAAACTTGAGAACACAGGAATCTGGTTGCCTTTCCTCTGTGGGTGAAGGATACAAATACTTCTTCATCCACTTTCTAACAAGTCTGCTAGAGCAAGAAAATAATAATAAAAATAATAAAGTAAGGCACAGGTTAATTTCTATATTAACTTAATCCATTAGCCTGCCACAAATGTTTATTGAATGAATGAATCAATGAATGAGCTCTCATGGTTACGTCATCATCATGAACCTGTTTTTCAAAAAATCACATAAATAGCATCCAGGGAAATATAAACAGTGCCCTTCTCTTTACACACTATGTAATTATATAGGAAGAACAATGATTAGAAGCCATTCCCTTACTACACTGGAAAAACAGGCAAGACTTGTTCATTTCGGGTACAAGGATGTTGTTTTCTCCCTTGCTTCAGAAAAGGGCTTTAGGTTTATTCTGTATTTTATAGAAAGCAGTTATGGCAGGTAAGACCTTGCATTTGGCTTCTGCTGGAAAACTTCACATTGCAGCTATATTCCACTTGGAGAAAAAAATAAATAAAGCGAAGCCATTTTTCCCTTAATCTGAACTTCTTTAAGAAAGGCTAGATTACAATGCCTTAACACCCTTTACCAAAAAGCAGTAACAGATTTACAGAGCAAAGTGCACTGCTGACCTAATGTATTTCTCCCAAGTAAAGTTGATATTTGTAGTCTAAGAAGAAATGGAGGTTTCACTTCCTCACATCATCTGGTCATTAACTTACGCAAAAAAATAGCCCACCAAGCTCTTTTCTAGTTAGCTGGGCTTATTTAAATTCCTTTCCTTCCCTTCCCCCATCCTCCCTTTTATAACCAGTGGCAAATTACCAGTATTGATAAACCATTAGAAAATAAAATGAGACAATTTTATTGACAGCTAAATGAAGTAAGGCCTGGGTTGTGTTGGCTTTCAGCAATCGAGCGTTTTATATTCATTAAAACTCTGCAAACAGCATGTGTAAAATTTTTGATATATGCAGTGTGTCCTGAAATCTTTATCCACATTAACTGAGACACCAATATGCACCCTTGTTGCACCCTAATAGGCTGATTTATTGTGGCTTCCCAGGGCCTATTAATGAAAGAGCTTGGAGTTTTTTAGTGGCCTGAATCAATTTCATTTTTGGATGCGACAGAACTTGTCAAGGTCCATGCCTCTCGTTTCCTCTCTTGTCAGTGTGGATGGATGTCATGAGCTCTCATGTTGCATGCAGCAGCCGGGTGCTTGACAGAGTGATGTGCGAGCTGGAGACCACAGTACATCAGTACAAACTCAGCAAGTAGAATGACAAAGAACTGCCATGGGATTCGCCAACGGTCTCCAAGGGCAAGAAACGCCAATTAAAAGTTTTTCCAAAATCAATATATACAAATTTTTTAAAACCCATAAATTTGACAGTAAGTATCCATCTAGTGGCAGTGTTCATTCTCCACCACTATTAGCAAGCTCTTGGCCCATCTATTTTGATGGTTTCTAATGATCTTACTTTCTTGTTTGAACTTAAACTTGTGACGGGACAGGGGTTGTTAGAGAGACAGCAATCTAGTTTGTTCACCGATGTATCCTAAGCACTTAAGAGTCTGAGCTCATTAATATTATCAATGGATAGCCTTCCACACAACAGGAGGAAAAAGAGAAATATTCATTAAATATGTAATTTTTTGAAACCAATGTTTGTTACCATCAGTGTCATAGGATTTTTCAGAATCTGATAAAAACTATGATCTCTCTTTCTTTCTCTCCAGAAAGATGATCAGCTGTTCACAAACATGTAATTTTCCATACACTTTCAGACTTCCATAATATCCCATGGGCAGACTTCACACTGAGACACTCTCTGGTCCACACAGTGCCAAGAAACAGGAATGTTTAATTACGGCAGTTGGGGGTAACAGTCAGGAGATACACAGAGGACGGGAGAGAAGGAATTGATCCAACTGGATTAGATGAGCTTTTGCTTACAGCTCCTAGAGATCCAAACTCAGTCAGCCTAGCAAATCATCCAAGAATTAATTTGATATACTCATCACTGTCAACAGCCCAGAAAATATTAAAGAGATAATGAGCAAATTTGCTAAAAGTCACATAAAAATTTTCCTCCTTTCTCGTCCAAATATGTTAGTTGATTTGTTCCCTAGGGGTGACTGAGTTCTTCTTTAGTGTAACTCTGAGTTCACAATATTCAATAGGAAGATCTGTTCCTATCCTGAAGCTGACTGATCCCAGAATTAAATTATCCCATAATTTTTCTCTTTTGGAGTAGAATCCCAAAGACTCTGAACACTTAGCTGAGTTGGAGGAATCACAGGAACAATCGGCAGCTGCCCTGCCTGTCCAATGAAGACATTGCTGCAGAATTTGACAAATCTGACGTATTTACCTTGCTCTTGTTATTTTCAAGGTTTTTCTCAGCAACCCCGTCAATTGACCAGATGTATTGATTCCTGTACAAACACTGATGTTAGCATTTCCATATCACGTACTGTATTAAGTTGGGTTTGTTTTTGGTATATAGTTTCAGTCCAAAGAAGCCTGAAAGATGGCCTATTACCCCACACAACACCTTCAGATGCCTGTTGTTGTGTTTCAGCTTGTACCAGGAAAATCTGATAGAGAGCCAAGAATTTCAATCAGGACTATAAACAGGGCCTATCATGAAATCCTGATACTTTGGCAGAATTATGACAAGAAATGTACTGATTACAAATTTTGGAGGAAAGTTAATTTAGAAATTAACACAAAAAAAACTGGTGCCAAAATTCAGATGTAGTAAAATTTGAAGTAAAATATAAGAAAATATCACACATCAAATATGTGGAGAATGAAGCTCAGGGACATGGTCATTCTTATGTTTCTATGTCAGGAATATAAGGAAAGTGAAGTGGACTAGAAATTCCACATCCCCCCAAAATTAACATATTCTTTAGGAGGTTCTGAATATTACTTTCATAACTAGAGACAGAGGTTTTCAGTTAGGCAAATGAGGTTGTAAACTTCAGCTTTGTCATTAACTGGCTGAGTAACCTGAGGCTAGTTGTCTAATTACTTTGGGATGATAATAGTTACCTTTAAGGCAGTTGGAAGGATTAAGCGGGATCTGTAAGACATTTAGGGCAGGACCCAGGAGCACCAAATATGCATTAAAGAAACAGAAGTTTTCCTCCAGCAGTATAAAGAACAAAGGAAGAGCTGAACAGGAGAAGCCAAAGGAGACATAGGGCAGGTCAGAGAGACTGACAGGAAGTTGGTAGACTTTCCATTCCTTAAAATCAAAAGAATTGTCAGCAAAAATACAGAGGGTTGTCTTTTAAGGCTATCTCCTTTGAAGTACTGAGAAGAAGAGCAGATATGGCTTCTAGACAGGGATGAAGGTAACAGCAGGGAATAGAGCAGCCCAGCTTTATGATAGAAGTTGGATAAACAATTGACAGAAACTTAACATAAAAACAAGGTCTTGCCTGTTTGGCAATAATAAAATTTAGATAAGTCATTTTAGAAGGAAATGAAATGAAACTCTTTGCAACCCCATGAGCTCCTCTGTCCATGCGATTTTCCAGGCAAGAGTACTGGAGTGGGTTGCCATTTACTTCTCCAGAGGATCTTCCCGACCCAGGGATCGAACCCAGGTCTCCCACATTGTAGGCAGACGCTTTACCATGTGAGCCACCAGGGAAGTGACAAATACTATTAAAGCTAACAAAACCATCAACATGTGTTCACAGAAGGACAAACACTGCAGGAAATGCTTACAGTGAATGAAGACGCATCCAATTCACAACAAAAGAAACGATGTAGGCTTAAAGCCAGGAACTATTCTTGGACTGAATTTTTTTGACACTAAATTTAACTGGAATTCTTCTTTAAAATAGCATTCTATTCAACCTTTTCAAATGAAGAACTTGCGTTTAACAGGAAACATGTACTTTATCACAAGGATGGAACGCCCGGTCCCTGCTTAGTTACTCTAAAAGACCCATGTTGCAGTGAATGCTTCTCAGACGTGAATGTCTAGGGCATGCACAGGTTGAAAAGTAGGAAATGTTTCTTCTCCCAACAATAATGCCCATGGTGAAGCTTCTTTGAAGGGAGGCAACTAATCTTGTTGGTGAGGAGGAAATACGTCAAAAGAAAACGCATAGCTGTAGAATAAATAAGTGGTATCATTAACACTATTGTTAAGACAGAGCTAGGTATCAAGGAATAACAGAATTAGCAGCAAGTTTAAGCAATGCAGTAATGTGCCGTGGACATTTTCTCAAATGTTTGCTTACTTTAGGAAATTATGATGGGTTAATCAAAGAGCACCACGATCCTATAACAGTCAGAGAGCATAAAAGGGGTGCTGTGGGAAAAAAGAACTCAAATAATTCATTTCTAGCACAATAGCTAAATCAGTTGCTAAGAGTATCAGCAAGCTAATTAAGAAATCTATTGGCAAGGATGCTGGCACATTTTCGTTTCCAGAAGATACTCCTTGTTAACACAGGAGCACAACTACTGGTTGTTGAACAGTGAGAAGTCTTTGCAAAAGGGAGGATGTGGTGATATCTTCTGAGCTCACAGAGAGACAAGTCTCCCCTTGCTCACCCTACTCATCATATGCTTACACTAACAAGAGAGTAGTCCTGTCACTACTTGTATCTATTGTTTATGAAGAGACCAGATGGAGAACTCAGATTCCCACACTTCAGGGACATTAACCTATTCTACTCCTTTTCCTTTAGGGAGCGAAAATGAAAGCTGCGTGAGTGTGTGCTCAGTCGTGTCTGACTCTGTGGCCCTGTGGACTGTAGCCCACCAGGCTCCTCTGCCCATGGAATCTTCCAGGCAAGAATATTGGAGTGAGTTGCCATTTCCTACACCAGGGGATCTTCCCAATCCAGGGATTAAATGCATGCCTCCTGCATTGGCAGATAGATTCTTTACCACTAGTGCCACATGGAAAACCCAAAATGAAAGCTACTACATGTAAAATATTCATAAAATATATGCTACATCATTGTGGAAGTTTGACTGCAAGAGAGAGAAGGCCACAACTTTAACAACAAAGAATTCAGTGATTCTGTCAAATGTAAGAAGCCAATTGGAACACATGCCATTATTTTATGAACTACTAAAAAAGAGAGAAGGAAAAAAAAAAACCACTGCCAATTAGGATTGACACAATCCTAATGACTTAATTTTTTAAATTTTATACCTATTGTAAGAGAACTGTAAAATGTATAAATATATTTTTTCATATAACACATATATACATTAGAAGTATAAGTATATGTAGCCATAAATCAAACATACATAGTTCATATTCTTAAGACATTTTCATTTTCAGATTTTGAAACTTCTGAATCATTTTTAAACTCAGAGCCATCAATATCCATATTTTTTCTACCCAATATTATCCTCTGTGATATGCAAAGTGTTGCTGATGTAGCATTTTTGAAAAATTGTTCCACTACTGTCTCTTGAATTTTCTTCCAAACACCAACATTCATTATGCAAGTTTTGATAGTGATGTTTACTTTATCTCTCCAGAAGGTACCAATGGAAGGTGTTCAGACAAAAAACAAGATCCCTAACATGAATGTCCTTCAATGGTTTGTTGACTCAACTGTCAAGGAGCTGCAGCTGTCAGTCATGGCCTGGGGAATAATGATCAATTTGACACATGCACAGAAACGACAACCATGTCAGGACCACCTCTGGCCAGCAGTCTTTGTAAGGTATTACCATGGCAAAATACATTCTGATTTCAGAGGTGTTGAACTATAAAAAGAAAGTGCAACATAGAATCAACAAAATACATCATCATAACAAGAAATCTGACAATATGGCTCTCAGACAGGTTAATTGAATGGCTCAATGATGCCATGAGGAACCCAAGTTCTTTTCACCTTTCTACCCACCCACCCTCAGCCGAATATCTTGTGCTCAATTTATTGCCTTCGTGGACCCAGATAATGTCAGAGTTTTAGGAGTCATAGAAACCTCATGCCCAGAGGAGGAAGAAGGTTGTTTGCTCCTAAGTGTCTCTGTTTATCAGTAAGCAAAACAATCCTTTTGGAAAACAGTCCAGTCACACAGAAAGAAGGAGATGGATGAAAGCCATTTTCTCAGCTCTATCCCATTGTAACTTCGTAGGAGTCAGGGCCTGATGTTAACAGATTTTCTAATTTATCAACCAACATCAGAAACCTAGATGTTTCTGTGGAATACTCTGGTTTTTAAAATGTATCTCCAACCCATCCGTTTCAGCACCATACCACTTAGCACATTTATAGCATGGAAGCTAACTGAATTTCAGTCTGATGGTGCTCCACAGAAACCTGGGTTTGGGAGAAAAAGATTGAACTACAACTCATGCAGCAATTCTGGAAAGGTATCCTGCATC